CCAAAAAAAAAAAACAAGCAAAAAAACCAAACCAAACCAAACCAAAAAAAAAAAAACAAACCAAAACACACCACCCCCCAAACGGGGTCTCTGGGTAAGTAGTCTTTGCTTTGTGTCTAATTACAGTGAGTGTCCGTTGCACGCCTGTATGTAGCTGTCATTAGACGGAGCGCTCCGTGGGCTCTGTCGGCCCCGCGGCCGCCGCTTCCCGCAGCGGTTGTCCGGCGTTGCGGGGCTCTGCCCGCCGCGGGGTGGGTGCTGCCGTCGGGAGGGCTCCGGGCCGGGGGCGGCACGGCGCTCCGCGCGGGGAACGGCGGAGGGACGGCACCGCGACGGGACGAGCTGCCCCCGGGCTCGGCTGTGCGGGGCTCCCGGACTTTCCCCCTCCCCGGCGCGGGGCAGGGGCCAGGCTGCGGGGCAGAGAGACGCGAGGCGGGCGGGCGCTTGGTGGCTTTTACTCTAGATATGAAAGGAGACCAAACCATACAAAGTATTATGTACAGCTAAAATTCAACAATATATACAGAAAGGTCGCTCGGGAGGGAGGTCCAGCAGCAGGAGCGGGGTGTCGGGCTGCTCCGCGGGTCCGGCTGTCTGTCAGTCCGGCTGTCAGTCCGGCTGTATGCCTGTCAGTCCGACCGTCTATCCGTCTATCGGTCCGCCGGGGCTCGTAGGGTGCGGGGCTGCTGGCGGCTCTCCGTGCGGTTCCCGTCGTGCTGCAGCCGCTCCCCGTATGCGTGCAGTTCGCGCTGCGTGGCCGTGCTCCGAGCTCGCGGTACACTTTCATTCGCAACCAGTTCTTTTTATTTAATTTTCCCTCTTCGTTTCGTTACCCCTCCTTTTCTTTCCCTGTTTAATTTGTTCCCCCCTTCCGCATTCGGGGAATGACAGTGAGGGAGCTCGGAGCAGTCTCTCACCGCGCAGTGTCCATAGCTCACGGAACACAGAGAGACGGCCCCGCTGCGGTTCGGGTCCTTCTCGAGGGCGAAGTCAGCCAAAAGTCCGCGCACTCCGCACAGAAAGAGGCGGCGGTGCCCCGGGGTCCGAGTGAACATAGAGAGAAGCGTCTCCCCCGCGCCGCAGTGGGACGTGGCTCGTTCTGCCCGAGAGCGATCGCTGAGGTTACTTCAAAAAAATGAAACAAACGAAAGGCGAACCCCCCCCCCCGCACCGCCGTTCCGCTCGGGCCGGGCCGCGCCGGGCGTCCTCGGGCCGTGGGTTGTCTCGGACAGTTCACATCATCTGCGGTCTCTGCATTGTGTCTTGGTGTGGAGAGGAGTACCAGTGGGAATAGCCGGGCATGTAGCTGTTGGGGGGCATGTTGACGCCCTTGGCAGACGCCGAAACGTCCCAGACCGGCGGCAGCGCCGGGGAGCGCGGGGACAGCGCGGCAGAGCCGGGCAGAGGGTCGCTCTCGTGGGGGTTGCTGCCCTGCTTCAGCAGCTTCTTAAACTTGGAGCGCTTGTTCTGGAACCAGATCTTCACCTGCAAGCGAAAGGCAGCGAACGTTAGGGCTGCGGGAACCGGGGCTGTGGGGCTGCGGTGTGAGCGCGGGGGCAATGGGTGCGGGGGCAGCGCCGGGACGGCCCGGGGATGGGGTGCGGCACGCATGGGGCGGGAGTCAGTGCGCTCTGCCGGTGCCTCGTTCCGAATTTGGGGGTGACTCCATCACCTGGCGGCCGTTGTCAGCCGCGGGCATCCGCCTGGTTTGGTGCCAAGAGAGAGGAGCCAATGGACAAAGGGCACCGTGCGCGCATCGCGCATCCCAAAGCGTGCGCGGGTCCTTCGGGGGGGAAAGAAGGGGGGCACAGCGGGGCCGGGCAGCGACTTTATTGGCACAGTTCTTGATCAGGAAATGGAAATCCTCATTTCTCAGAGAACTGCTGGCTGTGGGAACGGCTCCGGGCCCCGTCCCACCTCCCTGGCTGCACACGGGGCTGCAACCGGATCGGGCCACAGAACTCAAAGTTATTATAGAAATTACCAAAAGGGAAGGCAAACGTATGTATGAAACTACATGCCTCAAAATCTAACAAAGGCGGCTCCCAGTGTGAATCTGACCTCACGGACTCGGCAGATGCACCGTTAGGACTACGTCTATCTGCACCGTCAGCTCGGGCCCTTACACCTGCACAAGGGAAGCAGCGCACACCGCACCCATCGCTGAGGCCACCGGCTCTGTCTCCGTGCTTCACGTTTGAGGCGTATTTTAAACCCACTGCCTGGAAGCAGCTGCTACCGCTGGTCACGGCAAAGAACGGACTCTTCTCACTACCGCTCCCCCGGCCCAAACCCATCCGCCCGGCTTTCCCGCTGAGCCCCTGCTCGGGGCCCTCCAGCCCCGCTCCCCGAGGCCGAGATGGGCCCGGCCCGGCTGTGCCCCGCGCTCGGCCCCGGCCCAGCGCCACCGCTCCGCGCACGGCCGCTCCGGTCCCCGCATCTCTCATCACCTCCGCACATTCTGCCCGGCGGCGAGCACCGCGTTGGCGTTCTCCATCCAGGCGCAATTAACCATCGAGCTCACAGGTATCTCCTAACGCGTTCCCGCTTCCCCTCTGCCTATAGGTCGCTGCGTGGCCCCGCTGTCAGCCCCGCACCGGGCCCAGCGCCTCCGCTTTGTTCTCCTCCTGCAGCCGGGCAGCGCTGGCGCTGCGATCGCTCCCATCCGAACGGAGAGGCAACTCCAGCACTTTATTGTGGCGGCGGAAGGGCCGAGGGAAGGGCCGAGGGAAGGGCCCCGCTCGGCTCCTCCGGCGGCGGAGAGCTGCGCGGCGCGCACAGATCCGAGCGCGGCGGTGCGGGGCCGGGCCCGGGGCAGCGGGCGATGCGGGGCCGCCGCAATTACCTGCGTCTGGGTCAGGCCGAGGGAGGCCGCCAGCTCGGCTCGCTCCGGGAGCGCCAGGTACTGAGTCTGCTGGAAGCGGTGGTTTAACGCCTGCAGCTGAAGGCTGGAGTAAATGGTTCGGGGCTTCCGGATCTTTTTCCCCTTCCCGTTGAATCTGATCTCGCCGTTTTCGATCACCGTCGTTTTCTGCTGATCTGCAAAGCGAAAAGCCGCAGCTGGGAGCTCGGCCGCAGATCCCCCCCCAGCCGTCCCCCCGGGCCGCGGACGCCACATAACACCGCGCGGGCCCCCCCGGGGGAAAATAACTAACAATAAAAATAATGAGTAAAACAAAAAACGAAAGCGGAAGGTTTGGGAGCCAGGGCCCCGCGGCCGCACACAGCTCATCGCCCGGCGCTCGGGAGGCAGCAGCCCGAAACCTGCAACAATGCTTTCCCACCCCCTTCGCCCCTCCGCACGCAGCACGCAAACATCGGCTCCCTGCGAAAAACAGCGTTACGCGGACATCGACGAGACGGCCCCGCGGCGCGATGGGGGCTGCCGGCCCCGGGGGGAGGAAAGGAGGGGGGGGCACGGCGAAGGGGAGAGGCGAGGGGGGAGGCCGGAGCTCCGGGCCCCGCTCACCTGCGTCGTCCGGCCGCGTCTGGCTGGGCGCGCCGCTGGTGTGGTAGGACTGCAGGTAGGGGCTGTGCTGCGAGTGGCTCACGTAGGGGTAGGCGGCGAGCGAGCGGTGGTTGTAGGAGCCGCCGGTGCCGGAGTAGGGCGAGCTGTGGTGGTGGTGCTGGTGGTGCGGGTGCGAGCCGGCGGCGGAGTGCAGGCAGTGCAGCGGGTAGTGCGCTCCGGCCATGGCCGGCGAGCTCTGCTGCGAGTGGGGCGGCGGCGGCGGCTGCGGCGGCGGCTGCTGCTGCCCGAACTCCATGAAGGCGGATTTGGAGGAGTCCTGCGCGTCCAACCCGTCAGCCATCGTGGTCATGGTCATCATCGACGGCGGGGAGGCAGAGAGCGAGGCTCTCCGGCTCGCCCCCCGCGCCCGGCCGCCCTGCCCGGCCACCGCCGCGGCACCGCTGGAGGCGGCGGGTTTATTTTTTTAAGGCTCCCGTAGTGCGAGAGGGGCCTTGTTAACCGAGGGAGGGGAGGAGAAGGGGAGGGCTGTGTGCGGAGGGGGGGGGGAAGGGGGGGCAGGGCTACTCCCGGCGCGTTTTGTCCCCGCTCCTCATCCCCCCGCCGGGTGTTTTTGGGGGCTGGCGGAGTCCCGGGCGGAGGTTTTAAGGTGGCTTCTGCCAAAGTTGGGCTCCGGCGCGCCTTCGGCGTGAAGGGCAGGGACGCCACAAGTCGAATGGTTCGGCTCCGGAGGGCAGCGCTTCCCCATTGGTCACTCAGCCTCCTGACGTCACCGCCCCGGCGCGCCACCGCGCGCGCAGCCCGCGGGGGCGCGCAACTCCCCGCCTCCCCCCGCCCCGCGCAGAACGAGGAGCGCGCGTTGCGCGGGGCGGGATGAGGTGCGGGGCGAGGGGATGCGCGCCCTCAACCCCCCCTTCCCCCTTCCCTCGCCTTTCAATCCCGATTTGCGCGCTATTTTCGCTCTTGCGCGCCGCCGTCGGCCGCGCGCGCGCTCCCCGCGCCTTTTTTTTTCCCGCATTATTATTATTATTTCTTTTTCCGCCTGCGAGCAGCCGGCTCCCGTAATCGCTTTCAAATATATGCAAATGGCTACGTGCGGTTAGCGGTTTTGGCAAAGCTTGATTAGGATATAAACGACCCAAGGAAAAGCGCCTTCGCCCTAAATTTGTCTTTAGATTACAATTCCGGTTGATTTTATTTTATTGTCAACATTGTTAATGATAAAAATAGAGTCGTTTTACAGTTATTTTTACTTTCTGGAAGGAGGCAATTAGACTTCTAATCAGGAATACACAAAAATCTCCCATGATTAACTGCAGTACTTTGTTCAAATTGCTGCTATAAAATTCAGAACAATTTGCCTGTAATGATTATGGACTGGGTTTATTTTGGGAGGTGGAATAAAAGTGGATATAGCATAAATTATCCTCTAATTATACACCAGTGTCGCCTCAATTATCCTCTTATCAAAATGGTTGTCTAACTGCCGCATTTAGTTTCAATTCTCTCCTTTTTTTCTATAAAAAGAACTTCATACCTTGTTATTATTAATCCATTTATTATTTGCAAGGGGATTTATATCCGAGCATCCAGGTGGTACTACCACTTCTCTCTCAAAGATGGACCGGGGAAAGACATTAACTTTGATCCGGCACCGCGGAGGATCTCTCTCCCCTCTCTCCCCTCTCCCTCTCTTTTCCCCTTTCCCTCGCTGAACTCTCCTCTCGGGCAGCACAGCTCCAGAGCCGACCCCAGCGCGGAGGACTGAGGTAGGAAGGACACGGCGTAGCGAGAACCGAAGGTTTCCGCAGCGGGAAGGGGCTGCTTGGATGGAGGCTGCGGGCTTTGAAAACCAACACCGGCACCGGCGGCCGCCGCTTGCGAAGCCCTCGCAGCCTGGAGAGCCCCGGAGCAGCGCAGGTCCCGATACCGCCTCGCACCGCGGCTGTCCCAGAGGACGCGTTCATAGATTTTTTTGTTTGTTTGTTTCCTTTATTTATTTATTTATTTATTTATTTATTTATTATTATTTTTAACACATCGCTCTCGGAAATATTCAGAAGGTTATTATTCTTGTTAGTGTTATTCCGGATTGTTTTTTTTGATTTTTTTTTTTTTTTTTTCCTGATTTCCTATTCTTCATTTCTTTTTGCTGCTGTTTGCCTCCCTCAGTCCGGGCTGCTGGGGGTGCAGCCGCTGGTGCCGGGGGCTGCGGGGTTGCGGTAGTCGGGCAGGGGAGCCCCGGGCCCGGCGTTCGGCTTCGGGCGCTGCGAAGGGGCTTTGGAGGGGGGCGGGGGGGCTGCGGGGAGGGGGTCGTATTCCCCCCCCCCCCCAACAGCTCCCGTCGGTGTTTCACTTCTTGAGCTTTCGGAGTCGGTTCAGTGACTCTGAATGCGGCTGAAGTGTCCTGCCTTGTTCCCCGGCTTTAACACGAGTTCCACTTGAACACGCGAAAGGGAAACCTGAGCCGGCGCGTATAGCCCCACAGCGAATAAAAATATAGAGAACGGGGAGAGAAGGGAGAGAGAGTTCCTTCTGGGACTCCGTGTGCGTGGCTGTGGGGGACGTGCTCCATGGCTCAGGTCCATTCGGCAGTGGTACTGCTGTATCCCCTCCAGCTCGCTGCTAACATCACCAAGGCGCTTTCCCGCAGGTGCACACATTGGCATTTTCTCCAGCAGCCCGAGCACGCGTAACAAAAGGTGTCAGAAAATGGTCCGGGGAGTGATTGCGACACGGCGCTTCCTTATTTCGAAACAATTCCCTCTGCACAATGGATGCTAGTCGGGAATCGGGACGGGCTGGGCATGCAGAACGCTTTGCTTTAGTATCGAGGTGCCTCCTCGCAGAAAGGGTCGAGGAGTCTGAGTCAGACACCGCGGAGCAAAAAGGACAGCGAGAAGGGGAGGGAGCCCCGCGGAGCTGCTCCCCTCGGAGGGCGGCAGTGCGACCGGCCGGACCCGGGCCCGGCTCAGGTGTCCCCGGGAGCCGGCGGTGGGGCGCCGGGGGAGCGGGAGCGGCCGGGGACACCCCGGCACCCCGCGCTGCTCCCCCCGCAGCGTTCAGCTACCCTCGGGAGCCGTCGGGACAGCTGACTCCATCCAGCCTCACACCGATCGTTTCCTCCAATTTAATTAGGCAAATCTCCCGGTATGGAGCTGCCGTTGATTGGCCGATGTTAAAGACATGGCTGCAAGGAGTCAAGCTGCTTGTCAATATTTATTGTTTTCTTTTTCTTCCCCCTCGAACCCCTGCTTTCTTCGTGTCCTCTGACACGAAGGGACCACACTTTGGTGTCGTGTGGGAGGCGGCAGATGTGGGGGTGTTTCTTCTCCCACGGGCCCCGGGTATGGCGGGGATGCCGGGGATCCAACCCGCGCCAGCCACGGGTTGAAGAAATAAAACCTCAGGACTTGAAGGCAGAGGGGTGAGCCGGGGTGAGCCCCGGTCTGCTTTCCCCCTGTCGGGCTCCCCGCAAGCCCCCACACTCGCCCAGGGGCACGGAGGCCTCCGCACCCCGAACCGGCTGCGAGCAGGGGAGCAGCGCGGCCTCGGTGCCCTCCGTGTCCCCGCGGTCACGGGCGGAAAGCGGGCAGCGCGCACCGGGCAGACCGTGAGAGGGACGGGGTGACTTCGTGCCGCCGCTGCCCCGTGTCACGTTAAGCTGCGTCTCTTTAATGATGTCTCTTTAATGATGTGCCTTACTCACAAGTAAGGCTTTCAAAAGACCAACGCGTATGCGTGGTTTAAAGTCGCATTTGCGGGTCGAAAGATGTCTCAGAAGACACAACGTTTAGGAGCTGGAGAACAACAGGAAACGGGGTTCTATTTTTAGGGTATGAAAGGAAGTTAATATAAGCGGCCAGAGGTTTCCTATATGCCTCGGAGCACCTTCTGTTCCATTCATTCATTCATTCATTCATGCGTTCAACAATAACAACAGGGGAAAACAAACATTCCCCTTTTCTTTCTCATCCCCTCGCAGGCTTTGTGCGGGTGGGCTCTGCGAGCGGCAGGATCCCGTGCCGGGTTGTTCCGCGCGTGGTTTGCTGGGGTCGGCAGCTGATGGCGCTCCCCAGGAGTGCGCTCGTTTGGTGCGGAGTAGCTGAGGGGCTGAGGGATGCTTGGCGCGTATCTTCCCACCCCAGTTCACGTGAGGGCCAGGGAGAGTGTTCTCTGTCCCGTTCCGAGCAGGGAAGAAGCGTCTTTCAGGAATGACATCCGTGCGCGCGTTTTTTTTTTCCCCGAGAGAACCCACAAGCAATCCAGGCTCGCAATACTGTTTTTAAAAGGGACAGAGAAACGCTCAAGTTTGGTGAGAGGACGAGGCTCAGTGCCTGACCCTACGCTTTTTAAACAACAGAATCGAATGAACAAAGGAAAGGGCAGAGCGCTGGGGTCTCCGAAAAGCGCTGGGTGGGGAGAGGTGGGAAGCAGGGGAATATTCCTGCTGGCGGCGAGCTGCTCCAGACACATTCTTGCGGAGCGGCTCCCACCGCAGAGGCACGGGATTTCTCTCCGGCTGCAGAGCGGCTTCCACGCCCCCGAAAATCGCACGCTCGTGAAAATGGCACACTCGTGAACACTGAAAATCGCACGCACGCGTGCCGCGGCTTTCGGAGCGCTACTCGGGCCACGCCAAGCGGTCGCGCAGAAGCGTTTGCCCTGCGGCGAGCGAATGCTCCCGACCTATTTTAGGGAGAGCCTCTGGATTTCAAGCCGCTACCATCGGAACAGACAGGCAGGCGTCGATGGCTTTCCATACCGCGAGTGTGAAGGAAGTGGCGGGGGCGGAGGGGTAAACCCCAAGCCCGGCCTCGCAGCTGGATCCCACACGCCGCTTTCTATGTCGGAGCGTGGGTCAAAATAATGGGAGGCAGAAGGGGAAAGATCCAGAGGGAACCAGCCACTGTCTCTTGTACAGATTTGTAGCGAAGGCTTCGCTGTAATTAAAACCTTACAGCCAGATTCGTTCAATGTGTGGCTCTGCGGAGAGCCGGGGGTTGGGGCTTTTTGTTTGCTTAATGTTTTGTTTTGCTGTTGTCGTTGGTTGTCTCCCCCGACGGGGTGTGGGATGGGGGCGGGTATCTGCTTTGAAATGGAATTCGGCTCCGGGCTGCGGGAGGGGGACGGGACCCCGCGGAGCCGGGGCAGAGGGCCGTCCGCCTCCCGCACCTGCCCAGGTATGCCGCCACGCAGCGGGGGGGCCCTGGGGAGACCCTGCGGCTCTCTCCTCCCTGCGGGACACGGGACCCGCGGGGGGTCCATCCGCTGTGGGGCGGGGGGAGCAGACCCCTGGGGCAGCCGCGGGTGTGCGGAGCTCTGCCCGCGGGGTTTCGCTTTGGCTGCTTCCCCGGCGGCGCGGGAGCTGCTGAAACAGAGATGTTGGTTTTAGCGGGGACTCGTGTTGGTTTGTTTTCTTTTCAATTGAAAGAAAAAACAACAACAAGAATGAACCTCTTCTTCTGGCAGCAGCAGAAGACGCCATCCAATATATAAAAAAAAAA